TGAGTTCGAGGCCAGCCTGGGCTACCAAGTGAGTTCCAGGAAAAGGCGCAAAGCTACGCAGAGAAACCCTGTCTCGAAAAACCAAAAAAGAAAAAAGAAAAAAGAAAGGCTTCCCTACAGTGGACCCTAGTTGGAATCACCTATGTATCTTGTAGCTCAGTGTAACTCCCTGGGGTTGGTTGGGCCTGCATTTTTGTATTTTTAAAGCCCCTCAAACAATGATTCTCATGTGATGCCATAGTTAAGAACTACTTTTTCAAAATGGGCTATTTGTACGTATGTAAATCCTGGATGTTGAGAGGCAGGGTTGACTGAGACAAATATCCCTTAAAAGAGGGCTTCCTCCAAATCCAAAGTACACCTGCTTTCAGACAAATGAGACAACGAAGTCTTTAGGGACAAGGTGTCAATTAATAGCTATGCATTTTAATCAGAGGGATGTGTTTCCTTTACTTCTGAGGCTCCTCTATTCTCTTGTGTTAGATCCTACACATCCACACACACACCATTCCCCACATTGAGATACTGCTACCCTCATTCGGAAGATGAGTTTTCAAAGTGCCTAAATAATTGTCTGGAATTTCTACATAAACCTCTGGGGTTTGCCTTTGATCCATGATCATTAATATCATTAATAGGCTCTCTAAAAGCACATGTGAATCTCAAGCTAGCATTTGGCAGAGCAACGGAAGAACGAATGCTTTTAAAATACTTTGGCTCAGAAAGCGCATGTGAAATAACCCTGTGGGAAAACCGGGAGACTTTCTCATCCTGCAAAGGATTACCTAGGATGAGATACTGACCTTGTGTTTTAAGTTCAGTTACATTTCTTAAAACCTCATTCATTAACCAGCCTGATTTATATTAGAGGGTAAAGTAAGTTGTGAGAGGCTTCTATAATGATGTACAGTTTGCGTTTGTCTGTTGCTTTTTGTAGAGTTCCCAGAAGACGTGTGTGTGTGTGTGTGTGTGTGTGTGTGTGTGTGTGTGTGTGTGTGTTGTGGTTTCTTTAAAAAGAAAACCAACTTCTGCAGGAGATTTACTACAGCTTTTCTCTCAGAAACTAGCTGGAGACATCTTTTCCTGGGGCTCTAAGGCGATCAAGCCCCAGAAGGCGACTGTGTCAGGGTGAGCAGAGCGCTGACCTCCACGGGGAAGAGGTCACTTCAGCACAGAAGACTCAAAAGGGAGGAAGAGAAAGCAACTCCACAGCAGGGATTTGACTTGCTTTAGGGCAGAAGAGCTGCTATAAAGGAGTCCCCAGTCTCCCACGCCCTTTCGCCTGCTCTTCTGTTGCTGCTTGTCACTGTGCTCAGCACACTCACCACGCCACACACACACACACACACACACACACACACTTAGCTCTTACTAAATGCCTCACACCCTTTCTCCACCTGCCCCCAAAGCAGTGGGCAGATTGGCAGCCCCTTCTCCAGAGGAGGCAGGTGATGGGATGACTGGAAATTTTTCTAGGCCCAGTGACTCCTTAACATGCCTGTCTGGTGACAACACAGGTTTCTTTCCCAAAGCCACTGTGGGTGCCTGGGAGGGCTCATATCAGCTCATCCATTCTTGTCAGAGGAAGGTTGAGTTGGTAAAGCAGAGTTGGGCTGGGCATTTGGTACATATCCCAGGAGGAGGAGCCTGGAAAAAGCCTCTTTCCTCTAAGGATGCCAGAAGCTTGTGAAACAGCAGCATGGTTTTATTTACATATTCCCCCCTTAAAATGCTACCCTGGTAAGCTTTTCCTTGTGCCATTCTGCACAGTAGGAGATGCACAAGAAACACGTGGGAAAGCTTTCTCTAGTGGCTCACCAGTGAGAAGGGCTCTGTCCATCCAAAAGTATCTCTGGAACCAGGGCCTCTCTGTGTAAAGGAGTAGGGGGCAGAGGAGTGTATCTACTGTTAAGAGTTTTATTGTGAAACTAAAGAGTCTCTAATTGGAAAGTTCATCTATGAACTTTCTACAGCATGCTTTCCCTTGAAGATGACATTTCTTATCAAATCTGATGTTCTCTTGAACCCTGGTTGTACATGAATTAGGCTCTTGTTTTACATGTTTGTTAGGTCTAATCCCACAGTCCTATAATATTTTAGGAATGCCCACTGAATTTGCAAGATCCCTTGGCTGCTCTGCTAGCAGCTATGCATGTCTGCCTAGACCAGCTGCCCAGCACATGAGAGCAAGACAAGGGAGAGAGAAGGTTGGTCTTGACATTTAGTCTGTTCTCTATCCAGAGGTGGGGGGCGGGGTGGAGAAGACCACTATGCAATGTGACAGGCATGGCGTGTACATAATTGTTGGGAAAAGCTCTATAGGGGAGGAACTATTACAAAAAGTATTTCTAGAATGCCCAATCTACTGAAAACGGCTTAAAAGTAGTCAAATGTCAGGTCCTTTCACAACAATAGGAAACTGATCCAATACCATGTCCCAAAGCCAGGCACCTGAGCTGGGCACTGATTTTAGTGGGAGGATGGAGAAAGAACTGCTTTAGTCAAAGGCTATAGTCAGCAATGTATCCATGCAGAACACACAGTTGTGTGGACTTTAACGGGGCCCCAAGTTGTTTTTCGTATGTTTGCTTGGTTTTGTTTGTTTTGTTTCTTGTAGTCTTATAGTTCATTCTCATCCTAAATGGGCTTTTCTTTCTGCTATACTGGTAGCAGGCACTGAACTGATCAAGGAAAAAGGCAACCCTTTGTATAGTCACCACCAGAGTGTCTGGATGTGAGCACAGCCTGGGTCAATCCTCTTTATAAGAGGGTTGTAGCTTTCCATTGCTGTATAACAAATTGCTATGGATTTAGTGCATAAATCAATTACCTCATCATTTATGACACCCTTTAGCCAGGTCCTCTGTTCAGTGCCTTATAACACTGAAATTGGGATGTTAGTTACATTTTATCCTCATTTGAAGGCTCAACCAGGCAAAGGTCCATCCCTGAACTCCCTTGCACTGCTACCTCCTTCCTTGCAACAGCAGGTAAAGGGTGCCCATCACCCAGCTGGCTATGCCAAGAATCTCCTAGAAGCCATTCTTAAGTCTTTGCCATGAGCCCTCCTCCACCTCATTAATGGAGACACCTCCATTGCCTTGAATATCTCATACACTGAGTTCACTGACATCTCCTTTCATGACCAGAGACATTTTTCTTCTAAAAACAAACAAAAAACATTATTGTGGTATTGTGACTATCTGGTGTCCCTGGGAAATTTATATTTTAATGACTACCCAAGTGAGACATTACATTTACAAACATCCATCACTGTAGTACCAGTATTTGTTCAATAACAAGGGGCCAGGAATCCTTGAAGGCCATCACAGATTTTGGCCTACCACTAGATCCTCCAGCCGGTACCTCTTCTTTGATAAGTGTCCATCTAACTGAATACCTTCATCTTTTAATGGATCTTATCATATCACAATTGAAAAACTAATAGCAGCCTATTTTCTTTTTCCTATAGTGTTTTCAATACTGCATGGCAAAGCAATTGAGGCACAAAGAATTGTGGAAATCTCCAAGTTGGTCCAAACCCAAAGCACAAAAACAAGGCCCTAGTGGGAAAAAATTCCAAAACCAGAAATGTGGATGGAAGAGCTGTTACTGGAATCAAGGAAGTCTGGCCCAAAAGCTCTTGCCTTTGAGCATACATACGGTCTGGCTTGCACACCAAAAGGGTGAAAGTAACAGTCAAATGATGAGCCAGGCCAGTGTGGAAGCAGAAGTGCTGGAAGAAATATTTTAGAACCTCTCTGGTAACTGTACTACAGCCAGCGTTGTTCAAATGAGAACACCCAGGAAGCTGGAGATAGTTGGGTGTGGATGGAGAAAGGAGGGCGTGATGAGACCTGACCCTCTTCCCATCTCATCCCATCCTGCTCCCTTTTCTTTACCCCAGGGGCACATTGCCTTAGTTTTATTCAAACCTGAAGGCCATCCACATTTGCCCTATGCTGCTGCATTGTGATATGAACTTTCTAAAATTTATTTCCAACACTACAAAGCCATAGGGAACCCACTGAGAGTATTTGAGGGTTCCAACTTGAATTTGGAGGATTTATATTTCTCTCCACAGGATGGAGTTTATCCAAACCATTCCTTCGTGGGTACCTGGTACAGAGGGATGGTCTGGCCACACTGACATTGCAAATAGGGACAGATAGGTAAAAGATGACTCAGGGGGGTGATTCTAATTTATCAGCCTGAGTGGGAGAAGACAGGGAGTGAGTAGCGTTTTAGTGAGGGAAAGCAGAGCTGTGACCAGACAGTTGTGAAGACATAGCTGTAGCAGCTAGCTGTAGGGACCAGATACCCAGTGCACATAACCACTTTTGGCTCATTCATTCAATCTGGATTTTAGTAATTATAAATGATCAGATGATTTTTTTCTACTATAATATAGAAGGAGTCTTCTCAATGATGTAGGCATGTTTAGGGAACATGGGATGAGCCTTGATTAACTACTACTACCAGATACCCCAAGAAGATGGTTGCATCAAGGAAGCAAGCAGACCCAGTAGTGACACTACAGTTTTGAAAATGCCCATGAAGTTTTATGAGTGTGTGTGTGTGTGTGTGTGTGTGTGTGTGTGTGTACATGTATAGAACTGCATGTGCACACAAGCAAGGGAAGGGTGAAACCTATGGAGACTTGTCTGTTTCCTTTCTGAACCCCCTTTCCTGCAATTCATTTTCTAATTCTATGAAACAGAACCTAAAGAGGAAGTCCAAAACTTCCCAAGAACAAAGCAACAGCCCCAAAGGGCTAGGACTTCATCTGTGATTCAGAAAATACCTATTTCTCCCCAACTCAGAGATGCCACTATCAAGGTAAATGCAGTTCAAGTATGGCACAGGTGTCTTCTCCCTGGAGGCTCCATGAGCTTTTGTATTTATTTCCTGTTTAGCACAAATCACAGTGCTTCATGGAGATCTCAGCCAAGGCTAGATCCTGGTATAAATCTGGTAAGTTCCCAGATGAAGCACAACACGGAGCAGCCCGGGAAGGAAGGGCTCCCAAGTTCTAGGCCTGGCTGTTGCTGTCTGAACAATTCCCAAACCTCTTGAGGCCTCAGTTTGCCCTTCTGGGATCCTTTGATGGGGAAGATCACTGCTTATACTAGCGTTCGGCAACTCTGTGATGAAGACTTTTCAACTTTTCACATGTCTCTGTGAGGATGAAGCAAAGAAGCTTTTCACCCTCCTTATGCTAACCACAGAGGGGACAATCAGTATGGCTACCTGAGTAGTCATTAGAGGGGCAGCTGCAAACCTGTGCCTCCCCTGGAATCACCAGGAGCCACACGTGCCCTGCCAGGACAATATGACTTTAAAACAAAGCTGCATCTTTCAAGTTGCTGGTGTCTGCTTTTGCTCTGTGGATCAAGAATTCAACCCTTAGTACTCTGGTGTGGGTATTTTCAGAGGGGTGGGTTGCGGAGGCTATGGGCAGACTTCCATTCAAGGTTCTTACTGGATTTAAGAGCCTTTACTGTAAGATAATTTCCCTGACTTGCATATCACAGGTTAATACTGGACCCGTGCATAATGATACATAATTTGAGACTTGTAAAAGCTGCTTTGGACTTGAAAGAAACACACTCTATGCCAGAAAGGTTGTACCTGGCATGCAAGAGCAAGTAGTGCAGCTAGAATCTATGTCCAAAGCAAGGGGGCCACACCCTTTTGACACGGTCTCAGAGGATGCCATACAGGTCCCTTGACTGCCAGGCGACCACACTGCCACAGTCCTGCAAGCACCCACTCCCAACCTTGTTTGCCCTTTCCATGACCACCAGAAAGCAATTGCTCACCAAGGAAAATTCCTTACCTTTAGTACACCGAGAAACAATCGCATGAAATTGAAGTGATGCAACAAGATTGTCCTAATGACCTCTAAACTTTGTTTTTAAGGCTTCTGGGACAAGAACCTCAAAGAACTGCCTAGGGGGCCCCATTCTACCTTAGATAACCAAGCCATTTGTTGGCATTGTTAGAGTCTGACATAGTATGAGCCAGGAGGTTTAGCTGCTTGTGCAGTGGGGGAAAAATGTTAAGAAAAATAATTGTTGTTTTTGCAAACTATCTATTTAAAAACTGAACCTCAGGAAGCAGATTTGTGTTCCAGTGCTTGGATGAATCAGAGCTTACAAAGTATAAATACACATTAGCAGGAGAAGGCTTCCCATAACCCCATGCTTATGTCTTCCCAGCCCGGGAACCTCTGAACTCCTGTTTCTTATTCCCAGTAGAAGCAAGAAAGCAACCCAGTCAAAACGGAAGTGGTGGAGCTTCGTTCAGCTGAAGTCCAAACCCCGAAGGGCCTCTGGGACAGATTTTGTTTTGTTTTTTCTTTAAAAGCAGCTGATATTTAGCAGCTTACTTGTTCACTGTGAAACAAGCAGGTATAACATTTAGGAAGGTGGGAACCATACGTTCTTCTTTCTTTGGCTCCTTTCTACCAAAGCAATATTACTAAATAAGTTAACTTTGACTCACTGACCCTCAGATCAGCTAATAAAGATGAATCACATAGACCACAACTTGCTTAAGGGGCAGTGTAATCATTTTACTTAAAAATGATGTCAGGTGGTAATTTAGCAACAAACTGGCTTCCAGGCTATTTAATTTCATTTAACAAGGAGGAAAAACATTGTAATTAATGAAGAGCATATACTTTAGTACTTCAGTGGAGTTGTTCTCAATTTTTACTGTGTGTAAGCAAAAGGGGGAAGGGACGGAGGCGGAAGCTTGTTGGAAATGTAGCTGCTAAGATCCTACCTTGGTGGGTTCTGATCCTACAGGGTCTTGGGATGGGCCTGGAGTTCTGCACTGAAGAAAGTGGGAGGCATGCTTCTTGAGAGTCTCACCTGCATTTAGTTAAGTAAAGTGTCCACCTGCCTCCTACTTCGCAGTTGTCTAGAATCTGGGGCTAGTTTCTCAGGTAAAGCTACCCGCTTCAGGTTAAGTGTCGTCCGGTGTCTCATGGTATATTCTAACCTTAGGATTCGGGCTAGTGAGATTCTGGACTAGAACTTTTCTCTCCCAATGCTTTTTTAAGGAGGGCTGTGAACATCTCTGGGAGTATTGAAGCTCAGTCCTCTTTTCTACCCCTGACCCCAGCATAACCAGGCCTGCTTTGCTTCCTTTTCTCTCTGCAATCCTGGCTTTAGGCCGTGCCCACAGGAGTCTGACCTATGCCCTCCCACTACTCAGTGTCGGGACCGAAGGCTCGTCAAGGCAACACCCATGAATCTCAAGATCACTTCTCTCCTGGAATGGAGAACTGCAGAAGCTCATTAATTTTTTTTTTCTTGGCACAAAACTACTTGGCAGCTATCCAAGGAATTCTGGAGTCCTGCAGAATCCAAGTTTACAAACCACCAGAACAAGGTATTACTTCAGACTGCTATTTGAATCTGGTGCTGTTTAACAAGACTGTCTTCTGGCTTATAGGGTCCCTACTTTTTTTTTTGACCCCACCTTGCAGAAACCAGCTGTCTACCCACAGAGATTAATGACAAAGTATTGCTTCATCAAGGCAAGATGTCGTGGGAATCTAAACTCATCCCTATCTGGGTCCTTCTGAAGTACCTCAATGAGGCACCCAAACAAAACACTGTTAGGCACTCTTAGAGCTGGTAGAGACACTGAATCCTTTGATGGTTTCTGTTCATGCAGAGGTTCAGGGGACACTTAAAACCCTTCATCCATTCTAAAATGAGTTGCTCACCTGCAAATAATCCCTAGCCTGGTAGAAAAAGAGAAAACTTCCCAAGGACAAAAACAGAACATGCCTTTTCAACGTCGGCTAACCCCGTTTGTGTTATACCATTCAGTTCAGGGGCTTGTGGACAAGCCTGAATGCTAGGTGCCGGGGAGTGTTCTGAGAAAGGTAAGCTTTGATTTCCTACCCAGAAGCAGGGAATTCCTGGTGACTCTGCACAGCCCCTGGAATGTGTCCATGTGGCTTTCACAACTCATCCCTTGCTGAAGAACCAGAGGCCAGCTTCCTGAACCCTGCCGTGTGGGAACAGACAAGGCCCCTGGAGCCACCAGGAGCCTCAGCTCTTGCCCTTTACAGATACGGAGGAGAGTTTGATAACAGAAATTCTCAGGAAGTCAGATATCCGTCACCCAAAGTCTGCATGTTGAGGCAGCCCAATACTCACTCCCTGGGTCAAGGTGGTAACTAGATGGACCCCAACATCAGACTACCCACCGTGTGGCAAAGTGAACCTCCAGGGATAGGCATACACATAAAGCCATAGGGTGTGTTACATAATGACAGCAGGGTATGATTATTAATCCAACCCAAACAGCTAGGAGGAGAAAAAAAAAAAAAAAAAAAAAAAAAAAAAACCCAAGAGAGCACTAAGTCTCTGTCTTCATCCCACACCAATCCCAAACTGTCTAAAACTCTGTTAGTGCAGTGGGCATCCCCTATGAGTGCTCCCAAACAATTCACCTCCACACTGCAAGCCATTAATCCAGTGGTATTTATTCAAGCAGTATTCACACTTGTCAAATAACCAGGGAATCGAGGGATCCCATAGCTCCCGCCTTCACAGCAGCCCCAAGATTTTCTTTTTAAGAACTCAGATAAGCTTTGCTGTTTGAAAGCCTCCAAAAGTGCGTCACCCTGGCCCCTTCCAGATGCTCCATCAGACTGAATGACCAGCACCAAACAGTGGGATGGAAAAGCCAGCAAGAACTACATAAGCTCAGAAGAGGCCACACTGTTCCATGTTTTCATACAAAAAATTTAATAAATATTACTTTTCAAAATTTATTGCCAGGAACAACACATCAGAGATGCATTTTTTATGTTCATATAACACTAATAGGACAATACAAAGTATCTTCCCAGTCTCAACGGTGAACCAGGATTACTCTGTCTTATAAGCCTTTTTGATCTTGAACTTGGTAATAGCACTTTGATATCCTCACTTAAGGCAGGCAGTGTACTCTATGGTAAATCTAAACAGTGATCTAACTGGACATTTTATGGTTCAAGTATTCAACTAGCTTATTAGAATACTCCCTAAATGCAGTAGACAACAACGAAATCAAATCTACAAGTGGTTCAGCGTTACATACGAATGGTGAAAAGGAATCAGAATTTACAAAGTAAGATTGGTGTGCTTCCGCCTTCACACAATTTGATATTTTGAATGAGATTCAACCACTCACATTCTGGCTACAGCAAATCATAGCTCAGCTCATTCCCTTAAACTGCTCGGTAGCAGATTACCTGCCTGTCTCTTTTCAAGTCTAAAGCAGGAAAAAAAAAAAAAAAAAGAAAAGAAAAGGAAAAAAAAACCTGTTCTAGACTAATTCTCAATCTGCCCCAGTCAGTCCTTAAAACATGTCTTAAAGTGATGCTCTAAAGGAAGTGTTTGAACACCTGACATCGGAAAGAAAAAATTCCATCAGTATTCCCAGGTGAAGAAGCCTATCTTATCCTTTCAAAAGAAACTACTATTCCAAAACACCTTAATTTTGGCTTACAGGCAACATGTAATGAGAAAAGTTCACCAAAAAGGAAAAAAGTCATATTCTTACAACACTATCAAAAACCTTCAGTTCTAAACACATTACGTATAAATAAAAAGGAATGATGGTTTAAGGCTCTTGATTATTAAGTTAATAAATCAAATATACACAGTGATTAATAAAAAAAATTATTTACATAACTATACAAAAATTCTACTTTTGACACATTTTTTCCTCTTTAAATTCTTCATTTTACCAGCAACTGCTGACATCAAAGCCCCCCTCCCCCAACAACAAAAATACAATAAAAAAAATAAATAATAAAGTCATTTGTGATAGTTGCTGTGGTTCTGAGCTTGCAAAAAGGCACTTTCAAATACAGAACTACTTGTACGTCATCATAAAACCAATATACAAAAACAACTCAAGAGTCAATAAATATAAATAGAACTATGATCCTAATGCTGCGTCACCATTAGGACCGCTGGCACAAGTGGAAGCTCCTGGCTAGGGCTGGGCAGCTCCTGGGAGCCCCGATGTGTCTGTCGGCTGCAGGGGAATGTACACGCAGGCACATTCACTAGTTTTTGCATAGCGTGAGCGCTGCACTCGATTTCCCAGCCAACCACAGAAACTACCAGTGCCAGTGGAAGCCAGCTTGTCGAAACTTAAATTAACACAGGATTCTACGTCAACAGCCTCAGACTGGAATACGACAACAGTTTAAAGAAACTACAAGCCCCGGGGTGCCCTCAGACTCTACCTATGGTGGCAGCCCACTGTCTGCTATACGATGTACTCCATCCGGTTCAAGCTCTGGGCACTTTCCAAGTCTCTGTTGTCCTGTTTGTTTGTCCAGTTCGGGTGTTTTGTTGGTGTGCCACTGGGGGCCTTCTCCTCCCTGTCTACCAGTGTGTACACTGGCTGTTTGGCAAACCTGACTTTCTGCTGGTGTTTATCCATGTCATCCTCCTCCACTTCGGAGTTGTGTGTCCTTATTTTGGACATTTTGGAGTTTTTGTTCTCATAATCCTTAATGGGGACTGTGTTGGCTCCATGTTTCTCAATGGGGTTTTTGATCTGGTTCAGCTGCTCCCGCACATTGTTGGTGGTGTTGTCCTCGGAGGCAGAATGAGTGTGGCTGTTGGGCTTCCGCCGCTTCCGAACACACCAATAGAAGGCTGTCACCAAGCAACAGACCCAAGCCACTGTTAAGACAGAGCTCAGCAGAGGAACCAGGAAATCTGTAAGATAGGCAAAAGACCAATGAACTCAGAAAGAAGAGCTATCACCATGGGAACGGAAGAACACCAACAGTGGTTCTCCTGTATTCAGTTCCTGAGAGGGGCACTGTGGGGACAAGTCCCTTTTCACAACTGCAGCTACAGTCTGCCACTTCACAACCCTCTAAGATATTTGTCTGCAGAGGCACCTGCTAAACAGAGAGGCACTCCTATGGTCCCTCCCAACTTCACAGGACAGGGGTTGCTTCTGGTCCCAGGGAGTCTGGCTACTTTGGTGGCTCAGGATCAAAGCCAATTTCAGAGTCAAAATAAAACCAATACAAGCATTAACAAGGCAAATTCCCCCAGAGTCAGAAGCCCTAGTTTCTGATCATCCTGAATGGTGGCACTCCAGATCATCAAAAGGGGAATTTGAATATCCTGACAGACCATCAAGCCATCCATCCAGCCTCGAAGTGCTCAGGACCAACTAGCTGTGCTAGAATCAAAAAGCCAAAGCTGCCTTTGAGCAGCATCAACAGCTCAGGGCAGGTACTTCTCTGCCCCAGGACTTTGCAGTGGATCCAGATCACACTCCTTCATGGGAGCTTGCCAACAAGAGAGAACATACAGCATGCTAGTGGCAGGGAAGGGTCAGGTGCATCTCTCTGCCTTCATCAGCCAATACCAACATAGGTTTTGTGACCTTGGGCAAGTAGATTGATGGATCTGAGTTTCCTCAGTCGAGAAAGGGGGCTTCTAAGATGCAATAGGTGACTGATTGTCATCATTCCTAGCTGATGGCTTTCCTGGACGATGTGGTCAAATCAATTTCACAGCCACCAGGAAAGGATACGTTCCAAATGGACACCCACCTGTTCTGTTTTTCATAGGACGCCTCTGAACTCTGACTTCTGCAACAGCAGCAATAAGTGAGCTGTTTCCATCACGTTTACTAACAAGATCTATTATTTTATCAGTAATTTCCTTGATAGGATTCCCATCATCCCGGATGTCTTCCGCCGACTAGAAAAAAAGTGAATTATCAGATGGCAGTCATCACTCAAAAAAACACCACAGCAAGGATAACTGATGCTTTCGATGCAATTGCTGTTTAATACTGCCTAACTTAACTCCCTGGTAATCAAATAATGAGCACTGAAATGGTCTTATACTCACAATGGCCACATGTATTTCATTGTTTGCTGACAGAGAAGGCTCACAGGCTATATAGATTGAATATTCAGCAGAAACATTCTTCAGAATATTCAGATTCCTCAATTCACTGCAAATGTGCTCGGTGGTAAGACCCTGCAATGATTTAAAAACAAAAACATGTAAACACTCGTGTAAAACAATGGAAGAAAAAAGGCTCATGGCCTCAACTGTCTAGATTCAAGCCTCACTTCATTCTAAGAGACAACTTATGGCTATAGAGAAGTAGATGGACCCCCTCATTTGCCATACTGCTTTGAAAGAAGCAGACACACTCCCATCCCCGGTTAAAGAAGTTACATACCGGAGACATCATCTCTTTGTTGAAAGTGAAAGTGATGTTTGCACAGTTATCCTGGTAATAGGAGTCTGACGTGCACTTGGTCCTCACTGGCTGGAGACTGGAGGATCGGCATTCGCCCACACCAGTGCAGGGGTGCACAAAGCACTGGTCATCGAGGACTGGAATGCAGCTCTGACCACTGGGGCATTCGCTGTGCCCTTTGTGGAGCCGGCAAGGTCTAGGGCCACACCAGACCTGTGGAGGAGAAAACAGGAGCCAGTGGCTTAGCAGGAATGTCTACCCATGACTAACACTTGAGAACTATAGCAACTTCCATTGCCCTACCTTGGAGCAGGCGATCCGTCCATTCAGGCACTGACAGGTGTTACAGTCATCATCCCACCTGGTTCCATCAAGTATCACTCTCCCCATGGTGATGCAAGATCTCCCTGAAACTGAGAGGTGGAGACACTTGAGGAGGAGTTTCCTTTTCCACAGACTGGATCATAGTTCTGAACTTTTTACCCCCTCCCTGTTAAGAAATAGTTACACCCATGTCCTTTGTCACATGATGACAGCTCCTCTTGCAATGTCAGGCACGGGCACTGGCCATCCCCACTGACTGCTCACTTTTGGTCATGTGACCATAGCAGTGTCAGCACTTGTGACCTGAGAGACCCCTGAATGGAGCTTTCACAGTCGAACTGCCTCCTACCCCCCTTCCCCCAATGTGCTTGTCATCTATTGTGAAAAGTACATGCCTCAGAGAGAGCTGATGATCAGTCAGTCAGAACTGGACCTGCAATCATTACTCTGCTCACCCATCATGCTATAAGCCACAAAAATGGATACTGCAAGCCACTGGGTTTTAAGGAGTTAAGGAAGTTTGCTACACAGTGATTTTGTGGCAACAGAAATCAACAGCTACCTTCCTGCTTTTCCCTTCCTCCTTGAGCATGGTGCCCTCAGTGTGAAAAGTCAAATGGTGACTTCAATGCCCACTCAACTCAGAAGACACACAGGCAGCCAGACCCTAGCACACCTACCTTCATGGCATTTGGCACCACTGTGTCCCGGAGGGCAGATGCACTGGTAGCCATTGATCTCGTCCACACAGGTGGCCCCAAAGGCACAAGGGGAAGACTGGCATTCATTGATGTCTAGGAGAAATGGGTTCAAGTT